AAAATATTTCATATATTACAACTAGCAGAATGATGGAATTCTTACATGAATTCCTAATTACTTACTTAATTGGAAGAGAACACTATTTCACAGAATATGCAACTCAGGTTTAAATCACCTAAATTTCATACGAGGAAATCCTCAGCCTTCTGAAAGGCATAAAAAAAAAAAAAAAAAAAAAAAAAAAAAACGACAAGCAAGTCTTACCATTTTGATGCCAGTGGAAAACGTGACTGGTTTGACAGGTTTGGGTTTTTCCAGTTGCATTTCTAGCTGAGTAGATCTGTCCTTATGCTGAGCTAATAGCAGTGAAGCAGGAAGACTGGAGCTCTCCTGTGAATATGAGGAACAAATTTAAATGCTAAAACAAAACCAATCTTAATTAACACTGCATATTCTTCAAAACTGCAAGCTGTGTCTGAAAGGCCATCACTAGCGGAGCAGCATAATGCCAAGTATCCTCTCCATGAGAAACAGTTTACAGAAAACGATCATTTTCAGTAATAAGAAAAAGCTGCAGCAACCCCATAAATCAGAGCAACCTGCAAACAACCATTTTTATAGAATCCACATTAAAGACAATATAACAGGCTCCTTATTCCAACTAGCCAACGCAACTATATTTATTAAAATAAAAAAAAAATTAGAACTTAATCAGAGAAGAAATAATACCAAGAGGTATAACTTGGATCAGATGTTTATCTAAGACGCATTCTTTCTACCACTGAACTCAGACCAGTTTGAAATTGTTTCCCATTAGATTTCACCTGAGGCCGTTTGGAAATGATCCTTGCTCTGCTTTGCACAATGGCACTATTGTAAGTGCAACCAACAGCATATTTATTTTCTCCTTCACCAACTTATTTTTAGGGAAGCCAGCCAATTTAAAAAAAAATATATAAAAAGTAATAAAATGAATAGTTAAGCAAATGAACTACTTCAACTCTCTGAACAGAACGATTCTATAACAGAATGATTATTAACACAGACATATGTACTACATTCTTGAGAGAGTCAGAAAATTACCAGCCAAGTAATTTTCTAATAAACTAATGTGACTATCCACATGCACACTGAAATCCTCAAGACTTCCTAGCTAGAAGGACTGCAAAGCTGAGAGCAGGGAAGAAGTTCAGACAGATTCTTCCCAGACAGCTCCAGTGCAGTATTTTATAAACTTGTTTGACGGAACCAAGCAAATATTGACCTACAATGCATATTTGTTACCCATAAAACCAAAGAAACTTTAATAAACTGTACTGTTATATTTCACTTGTAACAGTTCAGGGTAAGAATGTGGAAGTTTTTAATGCTGTGAGATGCCTGGCAGGCTCATGGTATCCTATACAAATCTTCTGAGGTGACCATGAAGAACAGTCATGTTGTGCACTGACTTTTCACATCCCTCTCCAGTCCTCTTTCTTGTCTATTTTTTGTTACAGTCACGTTATCCTAAAACTAGACCACAAGTGCTAAAAGCATAAAAATCTCACATGATGAGATCTGGTCCAGAGTCACAAATAAGTCACAAAACTAAGGCACAGGATCCTACTCACGTGTCCGTGATTAACTGGGAGGAAAGAGGTTAAAAACCTGAACTGCAATTATAAGAAACATCTAATTTCTGTACATCTGGGAGAAAATTTGGACCACAAATGCACTAGTTCACAGTCTGCATCTTCAAAGTGTTGTACATGACTGTAACCACCAAGCAGCCGCACATGCTGTCAGCAGAGTTTAAGGATGTTGGATACTTTCAATCATCAGATTCAATATGCTGGGGGAAATGGGAAGAGTGGGAAATATTCTCCGATTTGTTTTGTCATATTCCTTAAACGTTCACTGCATTTCTCACACAGCAACTGACGGAAGTAAATTTTTGTACCAACCTCTCAAGAGTTCGCACAATGACCGGTAACCAGATTACACAACTGTGGGAAACCCACATCGTGCCAGCAAGCCACCATGTCCATGATTGTTTGTCCTTTTTAATACGCACTTAGCCCTTCTGTTAACTATTAACACACGTGAAAGGTCCAATCCTGTAAGCATTTACGCATACTAGCAATTTTCTGTATGGGAAAACAAACAGTATGAACAAAGCTAGATATATACAAAAATTTCTGAAAGAATTGTCTCAAGAACCCTGAGGTTCTGGTAAAAGTGAGGACACCCAATGTCTCTAAGGCACCTTGCCCTTTGATTGACTCCAAGCTATGCCATGGCTCAGGGAAAAACTGCTTCTTCGCCACAAGCTGCAACATCATTTTGCTCATGCCTGGGCAGTATGGGCTCTGGAAGAGGTCAGGGCAAGTCCCACAACACAGAAGACATCTAAGAGCAGGTCGATAATCCTCTCTACACAGGTGAGAGAGTTTATACAGTAAATAAAGGAAGTGTTTTCATATTTTACTCCACCCTGACTATCCAAGCCAAGAAGGTTAATTTAAAAAAAAAAAACAAAAAACAAAAACCCACACCACCACAACAAGGGCTGGTCCTTTCTGCATGAGGCACTGAGCTCCTCAGGCTGACCAGGAACCAGAGCCTCCTGCACAACATTTTAAATATCAAGCATTTCTGTGCCTTTTCCCTGCCTCTGGACTATCTAAACTTTAAGCTCTTCAAAGACAGGACAGTATTCTCATTCACTCTTGTAAACAACCGAGACCTTTACTCAATATGATAGTATCACAAATAATACATAAAAGAAACTGCGAAGCTCCTCGGTCGTTAGGATTTAAGCAAAGGTAAAATTCTCTTCTTGGAAGAGGAAAGACCAAAAAAATGACCAAGACTTAGGTCAAGCGGGCTGTAGGTTCCCGATGCCAGGTGACACATCCAAAAGAGACAATTCAAAACCAGTGTTTGGGAGTGTCAGCTTCAAACCACAACAGCTTCCCACCTTCCACTACACTCCCAATCCTGCTGAGTCAGTCATTTTGTCACTGGTATTACTGTAGCCGAACTTAATGCTTGTTGGTTTAGCACAGTACCAGCAACCATAGATACAAGATTCTTTTTTCATGTAATTCGTTACACTGCTAGCGCTTGTGCTTGCTTTTGCTGCATTTCTCAATTAAGTTTTAGTTATGATCAGCTTCATTTTCAGATTTGCAGCACAGCATTAGAGGGATTTCAGAGAGCATAAGAACTGTTTATTTGTTTAACACCTGCTGGTTTTCCAGAAACTTTGTAAGTCATTATACAAACACTTCAGTGCTGGTTTTACAAACCTTTAGTAATATAAAACAAGTTTTGGCTGAAATTTAAAGTTGATAGTGCCCATTCATAAACAGGGACACAACTTAAAATTGACAAGTTTCCTTCCTCAGCCTTTAAAAATCACCTGTTGTTTTTAGAATATTAAGATATGTTTTAATAGCAATACATAGGCAATCAGTTAAAACCACCTATTTTGGTCACGTTTTAAGAATTATTTATAACCATTCTTTCTGCAAGCCATCTGGTGAAGTAGGTTTCCAGTAAAACCAACTGCTGTGAAAAAAAAATAAAAAACAAATACACACCACCACTGGTCTCTAGTTAAGACTGCATTTTAGAACAGAACTGAAATAATAAGGTGGAAACCAGTTCAAAATCCCTATTCTGAGCCATTACATTCCAGTTCATAGTAGAATTTTTATTAATTGATCCAGTACTCAAGCTATTCCTAATTGTGTGGATTTTAAGCACTTTTACCCTTAAAGTGAACAGAGACTGCTGGATGCAAAGTTACAGGCTTGAGGGATCTTCAAATAATCTTTCTGAACCAATGACAGGTTGCCAGGACTCCTGGCTTAGAAAGAATCAGCTCTTGAGGAGGTCCTGAAACTCTTAAATTTTACATGGATGCTCTCTCTTCGTGTCAGTGCCTTCTGTACTGGTTCAAAGAGGAACACTGCTTTTCCAGGAAAAGTAGAAAAGCATCTGTATCTTGAATAAGAACTGAGAATACAAAGCAGGAATTAACGCTGTGTTAATGTAAGATAAACTGAAGAGAGAAATTCTCATTTAAATCATGAGGTAACTGTCCCCTGTTCTCCACCATCTCCCCATTGCAGAGACAGCTCAGCTCATGAAGTAGCTCCTGAACACCATTTTGCTTCCAAACACCAGATTGTCAACCACTATTCAGGACTGCTTAGCAAGCCAACAGTGGTAAGAGTTCACATTATGGCTGCACCAATTCAGTAGCTCCTCTGTAGCCCCTCACAAATTGCACAATCAGCCATGCACCAAAGCAGATGCAGCTGTTACCAGCTGAAGGCAAAACAAGCAGGTACATGGCCTCAGACACGACAGAACCTCACCCATCATTCACCAGGTTCAAGGTGGAGCAGTCACTGTATCACCTATGCTAATGCAAGCCATCCTCGGTCACAATCAAAGCCTGTGGCTTTCATATCGTCAATTAATTAAATAAAAATCTAGACTTTCATACTAGCTCTTCTTCAGATATGCAATCAAATGTCATCTAATAAGTAAACTGGCAGAGTGGCTGGACTCACTAAAGCAATTTCTGAAATATACCTCCACATGCAACAGGAAGAGAGCTTTCAATGGAATCACTAGGAAAAGAAATGAACAAAAAAAAAAATCAAAAAAAGGTAGAACCTGGAAAATAGCCTTCTCCAAATACTCAGAAAACCTTCTGTTGGATTCTTTGCTAGAATCCTACCCAGGATTCATTCTGTGCTGAAACAGCCAAGAACGCTTTCCTAGAATTATTTTCTAACCAGCACTGGATATTCTGGACAGTGAGTCCAGTTAAGTCTAGGAATCCCAGAAGCACTGTTCCTCCAGCCCTTAGCTCACCAAAACCAGAGCTGTTTGTAACACCAAAATGAATGACAGGTGAGAGAACAGCCACACAAAACACGCAAGACAAGGAAACAGAAAGGGGCAGCTGTGCTAATTCTACAGTTAACCACAGCAGAGATGAAGGTCAATGTACTTGCTGTTTGCTCTGCTACTGATCGTTCAAAACCTCTGGTTTCGGTACTCACCAGATCATCCAAGAGTGCCTGTTTTTTTTTCCTTTTTATCATCTGTTGGAGCTGTTCTTCCTTCTGTATGAGCTGTCGCCTTTGTTCATTTTCCTGTCGCTCTACCTCTAAAGCTTCCTCCAGCTCTTCCTGCTCCCGCGTCTGAAATGGAAATTAGAAAGACTCATAGCAATCTTCCTTCTTGAGTGGACAGAGGTCACTCACAGCTCTACTGCCTACCAAAGGACTTAGGACAGACCAAGCAACAGGAAAGCAGCCAAATTTTACTTTTTAAGGTATAATTTTCAGGTAGAATTTTAAGGTGATTATGGATGATGATTCTACCTCTCCTTACTGTCCAGTGCAAAGCTGGATTTTTTTTTTTCCTTGCTGCTCTCTGCAGGAGGAAGTAACCACCTGGATCTTGGCTCTTTAAGATGTTAGAGGACGACAATGGGTTTTCCTTACACCTTCACCCTAAAATGAAACCCTCTTTGCTCCCACACACCCTACTTCTCAAGTGATGTAAGTGGGGTGACCCAAAGTAAAATCCCACAACGCTGTTCCTGCTCACCCCCCACCATCAGCTGCACCTACTGTGCAAAGTACACTGTGCGCTTATCAGTGGTGTAGAAAAAAATAAGAAAATACAATTCAGTGACTATTAATAGAGAAGCTTTATAAGCTAAAACATATTTAAGCATCAACTGTAAAAGTGTCACATTCCCAGAAAATGAGGAATTTTTCCTATAACCTGGATTGCAGTCATGCGACATGAGATGAAAAATTACCAAAAATACCAAAGCAAAGGGACATTCAGTAAAAACACTGAGATAATTAAAATTTTAGAAGACTTAAATGGATGATTTATCGATGGAAGCAGTGTCAGCGAAACACCACTGCAACTAGGAGCTTTGTGAAATTTGTTCTTATCATAAAGTCATATCATAAAGCGTAGCTACCTGATATAGGCCAGAATACGCTGAAAAACACCCTTAACCAGGCAGATCAAGCCAGTGGGTCCCAGTGAGACCCAGTTTCTCCTGGATGCAAGAGCTGACATATCCCATCACCTGCCACCAAGTCAATAGAAGCTTTTCGTAACTGGCAGTGATGCCCATAAAAAGCCGGTCACCAACCGGTGACCACCTGAAACTGGATTCTCTTTGCATTTAGTGAAAGGAAACAAACAAAACAAGTAATCCCCCAAGTTGCTAATTGAGGTTATTTCTGAGAATTAAGGGATCCAATTAGTTCAGTCAACAGAACTGAAGAGCTCAGGGTGTTTAAGACATTCCAAGCCTCTTCCACATTTATGTCTAAAGAGTGCCCGGAATTTGCACTGAAACAGAAAATTTGTAGGGAAGCGCTAACAGACTTAGTCTGAAGAACCAGACCAGAAAAAATTATAGTTAGAAATAAGTAATCTGATATACAAACCTCAACCAGATCAGACTACAGGGAAAACGAAGAATTATCACAAGTCAGATCAAATTCTTTCCGAAAGGAAGACCAAACAAAACAAGTTACCCTATGACTGGAGAATAGCAGACATTTAAGGAAGAAGGCACATTTGGGAAAATTGCAGTCCACTCAGTGTAAGGCTTTATAAATTGATTTATGTGTGTATATATATATTTATATGTACTTTTTATATATGTAACAACAAGAACCCCTTCTCTCTGAATTCTTTACCTTTTTATCCAAATCTGTCTACTTAAACTTTTGCTCTGCACGGTCCTGCATCAAATCTACAGACCTAACAGATGGGTTAGTACATGACTAGCAAGATCATTAGGAACCAGCTACAAAGATGAAAAATATGGCTTGTATTGACAGAAGAACAAGAAGTTATTCAAATCCTGAGGTGACTGGTTCAGCAACTTAATATTTTGTAAGAAAGAATTACATACTCAGGAGGACAGAATGAGCAGAAGTGAGATTAAAATAATTTAAGTGGCCACAGATTTGGAGACATTAATTCATCAGTTAGAAACCAAAGAGGAGGAAACATGATGTACTACTCGACCACTAGTGATTTTGAACCTCCCACATGACAGTGCTACAAGAGGAGAACAGTCTCATCAACATATTTCCAGCAGAGATGGGAAAATAATCTTCTTTTATAAGAGGCTGTTTAGGTCTGAGGTGCAACATTGCATACAATTCTGGTCCCTTCTGCTTGCCAAACACAAATTCAAACTAGAACAAGCAAAGGGAAAGAAAAAGACCAAGAGGCACAGAGAATATCAATATTCCTCAGAAACAACCTATTACAGTGCACAGAAAAATTCATGTCCATCCAAGAATGAAGGGGCAATGACTGGCCATCAGAAGTTTAGGCAAGAAATTAGGACACCTTTTACCATTTAGGGAGTAAAGACATTCCAAAACCTATCAAAAAGAGCTAGAGAGAGAAAGCACCCTTTCAGCTTTTGGGAGGGGGTAAATTTATGAACAAGATCATGCAGTTTTTGTAATAGCAACTGTGTCAAGTCTACTATTATGTTTCAATGTTGAATGTTTCAAATGTTGAAAAATAAATAAAAAATAAATCTCTCCAGATCTCCAGTAAATCTGGATTCACGCAGGCTTGCCCAGCTTCCACGAGACAGCCTCTAGCCCAGCAAGACCACACAGTACAGAAAACAGAAGGCCCAGGGGGCTGGGGTGGGTACAGAGTATTGCTGTGCCACTTGGTATGATCACACAGCTAGTGCACAGGCTGTCTGCGAGTCACGTATGTAAATAGAAGGTGGGCTGCAGGCAAGGCACACTATTCTCACAGTGACCCTAGAGGTTGCACCTACATTGTAAAATAAGACATGCAGCCAAAGATTTGGCAGGGCTCTTCAAGCTCTGAAGCATAGGATATTGCACAGTGTCAGAGACAGGATAACAGATCAGAGATGGACCCCTAGGGAAATTTCCTCGCCTTTAAAAGGAAGAGGTTCAAACAAACATTTTTCAGATTCCAATCTCCTCCTGTGAAATCCTAGAGCTAAAGAAATCACTGGGAGTTTTGCCACAGACTTCAGGGGAGCGAGGATTTCACCCCTACGGATTTGAAAGCAAGTCCTTAGTGTAGCGGGAATACAAACACAAAACCCTGTTATGTCACACTCTGGGCAGACATTTTCCTTCGAGAACTGATAATGTGTATTTTTATACTGAAAAAATACTTAACAGATTAAACTTCTTACAGAAAGAAATGCTTGCAAGTTTATTTTTAAAGAACAAAATGACATCTAAGCCATATTTTAATGAATGAATCTTCAAAGAACCACGTGTTTTGCATACAGATCATGTATACAATACTCCCGATGTTATTATCAGCTCTTGAACAAAAGTTTTCATGTTTGTTTCAACATCTTTCATTTTAAATTTTGCATAAACCAGACCTGTGCTTTCCCTCAATTATACAGCTCTCTCCCGGGAGCTTCGTAATGTCTGTGTCTGGATTCTTTTTTTTGTTCGAATGAGAAAGGAACGATTGTCCTGGTATAGGAATGAACTTCGTCTCTCCTGGATATTGTCCAATGACACTGCCAGCATGCATTCAGTGGTGATGTATTAGACACTGACTTTACTGCCTGTCCCTCTTTTCAAGCCCTTCCCAAAATAAAGCATAACTCCATTTCAACTATCAATTTAATCCCTTTACATAGCACTAAATATCAGTATCACAGAGCATTAGCACACTATGGTTTTTGAATATAAAGTGAAATCTGCATAGTGCCTTCAGCTTTGTCTTAAGACATTACAGAAAGTATTCCACTTCTAAAATCCTTTAATTCTTTAACTAATGAATAAAAATTGTAGGGGAGAGAAGTTAACTAACCAGTTTTATCTTATTTTTCTGAATGACTTCTTTGTTATCCTTCTGGTACAGCTCCATTTTCTTTTTGGTGTTCTCCACATCCACATTGTTGGTCAAGTTAAATACTACATAAAAACAGTAAAAGACAGAAAGCAAAAGTATTAGGTCATCATGCATAACTATGACAAAGAAATTCTACTCTCGATGATATATACATTGCAATAACAGAATTTATTTAAATATGCCCTTTAAAGAAAGACACAATCTGATAAATCACTTCAAACTTCAACAGAAGCCAGAGGAGTTTTTAGGTTTATACATCTGCAGGAGATGAAAATTTGAGTCTTGCATCCTATTTTGTGATACTGATAATGATACACATGAATAATAATAATATTATTTGTAAAATATTGACCTTCTCAAGTAGCAGTCACAGCTAATTCCTGTAAAATTACATTAGACTAAACATATACATATTAAGACAAGGTTAGAAATCAAGTCATTCCATTTCATAAGATTATCTATTACACAAAGACTACAGAGACTGTTTGAAATCTCAGGTAAACAAAAATTTCACATGACTTGACAACTTAAAAGGCACCAATGTACAATTACATTTATTATGAGGAACCTGCAGATGCATCCAGATTAATAGGTTAAATGACATTCTTCTGACGTCTCTCGATAGTCACAAACTATATCTCACGTAATTAATTATGAGTAAGCAGGGTCGGCCAGCAAGCTCTGCAGTTTAGCACAATGTTCCCAGTTATCTACACATGGCACAGCGGACACCTCAAGAAACCGAACAGTTTCTATAATCAACAGCTTGAAAGATGCAGATGGTATGGAGATGATTAATAATTTGATACAATGCCTGAGCCTTTCACCTCTAGGTCACTGGTTCAATTGTGGGTCAAGTGAATTCCAACTGAAAGCCATTATCACCGGGAAGACAGTTGGTGATCATCATCCAGAGTGGATGCTGAGCTCATGCCCATGGCCTTAAAGCTATTGAAGACTGCCAAGGTAGAGCACTCAAAGACTCAAAGAGCTTTGTCACATGGCTACAGTAAATTTACAAGAGCAGCAGAGAAATTTGCACTGCCACTGATAAATCCTTTGCAAGCGAACAAGGGCAGAGTGACTGCTCTAAGTCAAGCCCTAAAGAAGGGAAGGAGGTTCTCATGGAAACGCCAGCACAAAACTTGGAAGGTTTTGGTTCAGCTCTCTCTTCCTAGGTTCTCAAGTGATTGCGCGAAATGAACCCTGGGCATGTGCAGCACTGCCAAGTCACTTGTGGAAGGCTGATAGAGAGAAATGGAGTGTTTGTGAAAATTATATCCCTTCTTTCATCCTTTCCACAGGTAAAATGGCAGAAATGAGCTTTTACGAGGGTTCTAGGTAAACCAAACTACCAATAGACTAGACTGGCAAACCAGCTGAGAGTAGCAAAGGAAACAGCAAGAAATCAAAGCAGGGAGCAAAAGGGGACAACACAGGGGAAGTCCAAAATGCTGGAGTTATGGGGTACAGCTCAGTTCTACAGACCCACCTATATAGCAGTTCACTACTGCCCAAAGGGCCAGTGCTCCTCTTACCTCCCTCCTCCCAGCCACAGGTCTGGCCCTTTCCCCGGCTCTAACTCCAGGACTCCCTGGGTGCTCTGCAGCACTAACAGAAACCCTCCACTAACCTGAACTGCCTCAACAAAGCAGTCAGGCAGCTGCCACTGGCAGTGCAAGGGAAGCAGAACAGAAATGTCCAGATGAGAACAGGAACACTCTCTTTCCAGGAGTACTGAACCACACCACATCGTCATATTCTTATCAACAGTATTCAGTCCTTCCTTGAACGGCAGCAAAAAGGGCTAGGCAAGATACAGCTGAACAAATTCCTAACCTTAAACAAAACGTCGCATTTAATTTTTTTTCTCCTACAAATAATGAGCAATATCAAGAGGAGCGACATTTTAATTCAGCCTGGCTCCTAAATCAGCTGAACTCTTCCACCCTGACCCCACCATTCTCACTTCGGAAGTGATCCAACATGCAGGCAGGTTTTGTGGCTTAAGCATTTGACTGGGAATCAAAACCTGGGTTCAACTTCCAACTTTGCTGCTGTTCCTGGGCAGATCGCTGGGCCTCTACGCTGGAGGTCTCCCACTTGCAGAACCAGGAGCAGGAGAGTAAAGCTTCCTTTCTCCTATGAATAGTCTGCTGTGTCTCCTTACTGTAGCTACATGCAGCTCTGTACTCTTGATCTCACCTCAGGTGGAACTTCTGGGCACCGCTATAACCCAAACAAGCCCTTCAAAGTTCAGCTCTTGGTTTTGGAAGCAACTTACCCATGTCAAATGTATTGAATTTTTTTCTCTCCAAAAGGCATAACAACATTTTACAGTTTCCTATTGCAACATATGTATGCTTTCTGGTCATAGCAGCATTTCCTTAATAAAACACATTATTTTGGTCTGTATTTTTAGTATTTCAGTGGAGATTTGACCTCCAACTTCCCAGCTCAGATTCCCTGCTGACAAGCAGCTTAATATTTGAGTATTATGGCAGAGAAGAATTGTCACGTGAAAATGCTGGCATGCAATCAGACCAGGGCTCTGCAACAACAGCAGCTGCATGGGAATGTCAGCACTTCCTACAACTTAAATCCACACACCACCTCCCTGAACTCTTCAATGACGACACAAAAAAAGAATAGCATATGAGACATGCTGTGCTAACAGGATACCCAGATGCCACCTTCAGGTGCAAGAGGAGGAGCAAGATGAGATGCCAAATGACTTTGGGCTCCTAAACATCTTGGGTACTTCTCTAAAAATAATCCAGCAATAAGCTGATGTAGGTTTTGCAACTATTGCTGCTTGAAAAATTCAGAGGTTTTTTTTTCTCCTTTCTCAGTTATCTTTAATGGGTTCAACTAATCACAACCCAGGTTTGTAAAACAAAAACTGTCATATTTAAAATTCATACTGGGGACAGCAGGCAAATTTTTAGACATATGCAGATGCCTGCTTTTATTTAGAACTACCTTCACAAGCGGCTTAATTTTTCTTCTTGATATCAAGTAACATTTCCATGCAAGATATATGTTTCTGCATTAGTGTTCAAGAAATCTCCAGTATGCATAGCCACCTTAAATGCCCACTGCTCCGCTCCCAACAAGCTGAAAGATGGTTTATTTCCCCTTCTGTTTTCCTGCTGCGGCTGGAAGCAAACCACAGTCAGATCTGCTCACACCATGTTGAATCTGCTCTGTCACTCGTGCTCTACTATGTCACCTGGGGACATGGTAGGACACCAGCAATCAGAAAGATTCATACTTCCAGCACCGTCAAAGACCAGACCAGATTTCTCCCACTGAATATTAATTCAAAGTCATTGAAAAGGAACATTAGTCCTCAGCATCTGCTCCTCAACACTAAGCTGTCCACATCTCAAGATTTAAAATACTGAAGAGCTAAATTCTGCTGCAACAGCATTAAGACCTGAATGTCCTCTATATCAACATCAGTGTCAACAGCTGTCCTTTAATAAATGAAAAGAATATCTTCCCTCCTACAATAAACCACCTAGCAACAAAACAAGCTATGCTCTTCGACACTGCGTGATTATCACTGGCCAACCAGACAGACAAAACACCTTACAACATATTTTCTAATGTATTTTTCATGAGCTTCAAACGTCTTTTCATCAATATTCAGAGAAGACAAATACTTGCCATTGTGTCCTCGCAAATTACAGCTGACAAGTCCGTTTTGTAAGGGGCACTAGGCCACAAAAAATAACTAAGATTATTTCTTTCTCTTCTCCCTTGTCCCCTCCACAACTTATCTGGCATTTAAAAAACAAGAAGTATCAAATCAAAGCACACAGTGAGCAATACTCAACATCATACCCTTTACACAGCTGGGACTATGCACTATTTTTTTTTATTTGATCCACTTTGGGTTTGGCCAGAAATTTATTTTAAATATAATTCTTCTAAATACAACAACACAAGTTATAAAACTAGGAGAACCAGAAAGAGTTAAAAAAACCCTAACTCATACGCTACACCTACCCTGAAAAAATATTGGTATAGATCTGAACGTGACTGGCAAAGCAGATGGCTAGTTTGAAAAGGTTTCAAAGAGAAGCCAGACTTATTTTTGTCCATGTTGAAATATAGCATAAGCCTATGCAAGAGGCCTGAAACCCTTCAGGGAAAAGAAACAGAAGCTGCTCTGTATGCAACAATTATTTATCTACTTATCCATCTCACATTGGTTGGTTTATAAAATGACTTGCCTTGAGACATCTGTTGAAGTATAACAGGAAGACTATTGTGTTTTTCTGAAACATTTCATTCTATTTAGGTAAAACTCCTTACTTCTGAAATTCAGCCTCTACAGGGAGACTCTCGCTGCTTTTCAAAACAACAACATTCATTATGCAATTCTACAACAAACAGAAAAAATATTTTCCTAGTTACGAAAGAAAAAAAAAAAAAAAAGAGACAAATTTTAATTATATGGCACAACAATTTGTCCAGAGAGGCAGCAGTACGAATGCATGTCACACCATTGCAGGATTTGAAGTCCATCAAGATCTCCCTGTTTTAGTCTAAGATACTGCAAATTTTCTGAGACTTTTCCTCCTAGTTCCTTAAGAGATAGTAATGTTGCCATGTAAAACTATTTGCTATTCAAATATTAGGAACATATGCTCTTTGGTAAGACAGCAAATGATTACTCTGCTGACAGTGATTGATCTGCATTGCTGTTATGAGCCAGTTGAAAATTTTCAAATCAGTAAGTATTAATTTGTTATTAAAAATATTCCTCCCACCCTACTACAAACAACCCCTTGACCATCATCTTCATAAATCACCAGCTAGAGACTAGGAATGGCAGAAGAGCAACTGCTCTGGGCAGAGGGCTATGAAAGGGGTCACAACCATATCCTCAGCCTGCCCAAGGAGTCCGAAGCTGCTGTGGCACCTTCTGTTGGTGCTTTTGATGCCTGGGCCACCCTCTGCTACTGTACTTTAAGAGATGGGGGGGCAGGGGACAGGGAGGGAATTAGATCTTAACAGATCCCTTCCATCCAACATTTCTGTGATTATAACAAAATAATTGTCAGAAACAAAAGAAAACCCACAGCTAAGCCAGAAAAAATCTAGTTAAGTATTAATAATTATTTCTGTTTATCCTCAGTTGCCTCTTATTGGGTCAATAATTTTCCAGAAAAATACCTTAGCATAGTAATAAATTATTGAAATCACTCAGCCCCATCAGCCTAAGAAAGCTCATTTTGTCTGGAACAGTGTGGTATTGCAATCTTTGTTCAGAGAAGATGACTGAAATGGATCTTCGATAAAGCTGCCCAAATTCCAGGTGGGTTATTCCCACTGTCAGGACCGGTAATACCATCCTCATGCACACACACAGAGGCAAAAAAACCACAAAACAATCAACAACACAACCCACAAGTGATCAGAGATACCAAAATCCTTTCTATCCAAGGATCGCTTGCAAGATAAACATTCTGAGCAAGACAAGTCACCAGGCAGCTGGTATTGCATAAAGTCTTACAGGAGTAACGAGATGCAGGAATCCGAAGGGCACAAATACAGGAGCCTCATTCCAAGTTGAATGTACTGGTTTTAAAAAGCAATAATTACTAATAACAATTGTGTTGCGGTAACGCCTAGAGGCCTCACTCAGGTCTCAGGAGAATGGTGCCAGGCAGGGTGTATGTACCTGCCAGGAGGCGGGCCCTGCTCCGGAGAGCTTACACACCGGGTTTGGGAAAACTGGCTATGGAGATACTGGGGGCGAGAAGAAAACCTTGGGGGCGAGAGCAAGCAAAATGTGCATGATGTCCAGAGCTTGTAACCTGCAGCAACACCCTAAGGTTTAACCTTGCCCCTCTTGTAGACCTGACTCACTGCAATAGGTGTTGTCCACACCTTTCCCAAAGGCAGGTTTTAACCCTTTCATTTTATTTTCCTTCCTAGTGTTAATGATAACAAACTGCGTTTACAATGTTCTCAAATTGCCCAGCTGATTTTTCTTCTGGGGAAAACTTGCTTTAAAATATGGTTTCTATTTAAAGCCTTGTATAACACACTTCAGCCCAAAGCATTATTTAGTAGCTACATTCTAAACCACTTCAAAAATGTGTTTTTTATAATAGAAATCTTAAGAGGTGACTACCCTAATGTTTGTTTGACCTTCCCCTCTCACACTTTCGCTGTACCACCCAACTCCTTTCTTTAAATAGAAAAAATCTGTAGGTATAACAATCCTGATATGAAGGGAGAAAATGTGTTTCAGGTGAGGTCATACATCACATCAATGGAGTAAGACAGGGCAATTGCTGCAAATGTTGGAGCTGACCTACCTGAAACATTTGGAAAAAACTATCAAAATTGTGTCAGCATCACATGAAGCATACTTATACAGGATGTTTACATTTTGTCTCTGCCAAGCAACTACTTCATTGAATCACCCACAACAACTTAGAAAACAAAACTTATCAGCAAAATGAAAAAAAGGTAAAGCTACACTTGGACACTCACAAAGAAAAACTGAAAATTCAGGGCAGGGAGAGAAAGGGGAAATCCAGTTCTTTGCTCCCTAGCTTCCTAACCTGGCAGCTTGAACAACCATCACCAGCTACTGCCAGCCTGCTGTACACTGGCTCCACAAGGTAAAACTTCGCTCTGCACGACTACACCCTTTCTTCCCTTTCCTGCAGCCTAGTTTTTCCACACATACAAACGAGCAGGGAATTCATGTACACAAAAAAAATGAAATAACTACTCTCAGCAGTGAAATGTGTAGTGACCATGCAGAGTCAAAGACACCTTTAGCACATGGTTCAACCGCGCCACACACAACGTGCACAGAAAGCCACTGGAAGAAGGCACACCATCACTACGTACCACACAACTGTCAGGTGGAAAACTCTGCTCAGGACCACTGGCTTCTTCACTATATTTTTGCAGGGCCAGCACAAACTATTGACAAATTCACTCTTCTTCACAAGGTTACACAGACCAGCCATGATTTCTGCTGCTTCTAAACCCAAGTTAGCAGCACAGGCTCTGGGAATCATTTGAAATTTAACAACCTAATCCCAAAAGCTGGAGAATCATAATATTCTGCACAAATTGATGAGGTTACAGCAATTTCAGGCAAAACTTCAACTCCCTTGTTGCAGATGCTGAAAATGTCTGCAACAGCAGTAAGTGGGAAACCTGTATTTAATGCTACATAAATAAAAAGCAGTTTTCCTTTCCATGAGCACACAGATTCTTCCAGGATCCTCTGGCTAGGATGCAACCATTCTTTCTGCTCCCTCCCTTCTTCCCCCGCACCATCCAAAAAATACACAAACAGAACTACACCCACATTGTCTCCTCCAGATATTTGGACCTGTACAAGTGTGCCTGGTATTTCCCAGCCACACAACTTAGCTCTCCAGCCTCAGCCTTCTGATGCCAACAAAAACATGATACATTACTCACAGCAGTAAGTGTATTGTTTACATTTCCACAAAACACCACAGTGCAAAGAGGAGCAAGGACTCCTTTCAGAAACCAAAGGGGGATTGCATCTCTATGTTTTCCTTTAAATCACGCTCACAGCCCCTCCTGCATGTTTTAAGCCACCTCTCCTTCCTCCAGGACAAAAAAAAAGAAAAGCCTCAGAGTTCATAAAACCCAAGAAACCAACCATTTAGGAGTCACTCCTTTGAACACATCCTTGTTTTTCTAAGCAAAATCCATCACTCCACCATAAATCACAAGTCACCCTAACTAAGAAGAAAATAAACTCTGTTGATAACATAGTCCCTTCCTCAAGGGCAAAAGTTCTGCTTCAACTAATCCAAAGAGAAAGAAATCAATGTCTGTTCCTAAACCTTCTCCTTCTGCACTGCAACGTAAAATGCTACCAGAGAGGTATGTAAGGTCATCAGCTTCAAAGCAGCTTCAACTACTGTACTTGCAGAAGCAAAAATGATGAAAGACACCATATGGCTTCTGTCATGGTAGATAAAGCTAATGGAGGCATATAATGAAAATTTCAATTTCTCCTCTTTCTGTTTAATCCTTCCCAGTGCAGCACCGACAGTCCCCTGTAAGACTTTCTCTTCCAGCTATAAAGCACTACTTCCACTTTGAATCACATTTTTTCCTCTGGCAGATAAAATGTTTTACTTAACGATGTCCTACAGTTCAGCAAATATGATTAAAAATGTACAGAAAAAACTAAGTAGATAAACATCTGATACTATAATAAATCCTACTACAGAAACTCAACGTAGACATTCTCACAGGCAGCTGAATCAGAAGGTAAAAGCCTATGGTCTCATGAGTACAGCACATCAAAAATGCAAGCATTAAGACTTACCAATTTCTTCTATTTCTTCCAGGAAATCATTATAATCACTTAGACTGGGAAAGTCATCCTCTCTTTTATTATATCTTTGGGAGAAGAGAAACAAGTAATTATATAATAGACAAAGACACAATTTCAACTCAACAAGGCTCTTGCTGCAAGCATATTAAGTTTTGACCTATTTCTAGCCACTGTGTGCTTTGTGGCTCCCACAACTGACCAACGTACAGAATCTGTAAAAGGAGACAAAGTGCTTGTTGCAAAGGCAAGGAAGCAGCCTAGCATAAATCGGTGCTATCTTTGCCTATTGTTTGCAGATTCCTTTTCCAGGGTTACAGGTAAACAGGGGCACAGAAGTTAGGATATACTAATTCCAAGCCAGCCCCCTTCACCATAAGAAATCCATTAACAAAGAGAGACAACAGTAACATCCACAAAAAAAGCTTTTCTAGAAGTATCAGAAAAGGGAGTTTGGCTTTGTGCCACCAACAGAAAGCTTATGTCAGCAGCAAACTGAAAATGCTACGGAATTATCTTATTTCATATCGATAGGCCATTCCAGAACTCATTTATCTAACTCTTGATAGCTGGAAAAAGTACAAAGATGAAGCGACAACTGGCTAGAACGTGGACAGCCTCTGAAAGTCAAGACATGCAGGCTTTCTTCCCAAGAAAATATCAAGCTAAGATTCTGCCTGCTCTGGGGGCCAAGATACATGACACCCAGGAGTATAAAACCTAATCCTGAGAACTCGGGCCAAATTCCAATTTAGGGACATTCTAAAACTAATCCGGCAAATCCAAGTGGGCCAAGCATTTTACAATGTCTTCTGTTCTAACTACACTTCATTCCGTGTTTAGTGAACTAATCTGACTTCATTCCAGTTTGACTTTTGTTAACTTCAGGAGACTTTATAATCAAACATCAAAATTATTACTACTTTCCACATCAGCATCTTGGTATTCAATGATGCAATTTCCCCACATCTCAGCAATATCGCAAGATTCATTTAGTATTGTACCAAGTCTTACATAAAGGCTGCCAAGCTTATAATTTACCTGCACGTTCATTTTTGCATACATAACTCTCTCCAGGTTTGTTATGTTCTATCAGACCCTCTTCTACCAAAACACCAACTGGCTCATTCATTTTCCTTATAAAATGTTGTCACTTGGCCACAAGGAGGGAGATGCAATTTTAGACCTCATTTATCTCAATTCCAAAAGTTCTCAAATCTGCACGACAGACTAGGAACACAAGGCTTGCAAGGAAGCATTTCCACTAACAATTGCTGTGTGAAGTAGAAGATACTGTGAACATAGCTTCTCTTTTGTCCATTTTCATTTTGAAGGGAACTGGCCTTCAACTCTCAGAACAAGTCTCCAGGGAACAAATCAATCACGGTCCTGTTTCTTGCCCCACTCCCATGTTCACTCCCTCAAAGCAAAAGCAGCTGTAGTCTTCAGTATCTAATCATCTCCATTTAGGAGGCAAGTCTTTGCCAAAGGAGGCCACATAGAAACACCCAACATCTTCTAACACTAAGCAGGAATCTCAAGACTAAATTAAGAATTCAGTCCTCAGTTGTTTCATAAAATCAGATTCTCTGAAAGACTTCCACGTTAAATGGAGTGAAGTTTTATGAGTCGTCATTTTAAAAAGAAATAAATATCTCTTCTGTGCTACTAGAGGAGTAAGTCAATTTTTTCACATGGTGATCCATGAAATACATCCACTTTCTGTTCTTTTAACTGGTGACACTCACATTTTCAGCACCTTCTTCCGAATTTCCACTTCCTTGTCCACAGCAGGATCCTCAAAGAGCTGTACCCTGAAGTTGCTCTTCCGCAGGGGGGTATCGCACTCCTGGCAATTCCCAGCCCCTCTCACAAACAGCAGTTCCACACAGCTCTCGCATCTGAGGGAGAAAAGAAGGGGTATAAAGGCAGATACATGTTAAACAGTAACTGAAACACAGGATCATCCCCCTTTTTTATTGCTTCCCCACACACACACTATAAACACACAGCACATCATCCCTTGATTTCACGATTTCTTCAGCACCCAGCAGTGGTAAGGAGGCAAAGGCTCTCCACCATGGCTGAAAGGAAACAATCTCAGCAGCACGAATGCATTTATTGTCCTTGCCCAAACAACTCAGCCCCTTTGCTGAGGCTGAAAGTTAATCCAAACACAATGATGGGGTTTGTATCAAGAGGAAGCTTGTTTATTGATACCATCAAACTCATTTCGTGTGGACCAGACTGCAATATCCTTATTTGCTCTGAGCACTACCTTGCTGCACAAAAAGCCCACTTTATTTTCTTGATGCCGTTCACAGCGCAAGGTACTATCCAGTACAAGCAGAGATACAAATCTTGCCCGCAGCCTTCCAAACATCTACCAGTATTACCACAGAGGAACTGCTTTAACAAACCAGAGCTAAAATCAAGCCCAAAATATCTAAAAGAATTAAAATAACATTTTAACCATCAACCAGCAGTATGGAGCTTTCCTGTGCCTTCTGTTAATACATATAAAATTGCACAGAAAATATACTTCACATAGAGGCTGCACAGAAATAAACCAAAAATACCCTTCTGGTTTTATTTCTTTTGTCTTAATGACAATTTCAGATTTTAACAAGATGGTTGCTGAGCAGTCAGTTGCCATTTAACAAAGCAAGAACACACAACAAGAAAGCCAATTTTTAAAGAGTACCTGGGTACTAATAATGTGCAAATCACTAGCAGAGGACACCACCTGCTGCAATCATCTATTTATAACTTTGAAATATTGAAGATAAAACAGTTGTACCTGAAGGGCTAAGCTGTATTGTACCTTGACAAACCCAGCACAAGAGTTAAGAGAAAAAAATACTGATGTGGTTGTGAAGGATCTTAAACAAAACTTTCATCCTGCTGACCTACTCCCAACTAAACTGGTTCCAGTACTTACAGAGGCAGAGCTGGCTAGAGCCAACCTGTCCTACCCAGCTTCTGTTTTCAAGATCAGAAAGTGCAAAACAAATGCAATTGTACCTTACAATTTAAAAAAAAAAAAAAAAAGAGCAATTTCTTTTTGTCAACACAAGTAGAACTACAGTTTCAAAATGCATCTTGCACAGCAACCAAAGCACAGAAAAAGAACCTGCCTCCTCTTTCCTATTTTTAAGTTCTAGAAAAGGGAGTGTAAAGCTACAGAACTTGGCAGGTGGATCCAAGCGCAGGTGTTTGTATTGTTCTTTTATCACGGTATTGCCTAAGGACCAACAGAACAGGGTCCACATGTGCAAGATATTATGCACAGACAGTAGCACCTGAAACTACTTCACTTCCCCTCCTCCCCACCTTCCCTAACTAAATCAAAAGCATTTCAAGTTTACACAGGACTTGACTATGGGGAAAAAAAAACCTCCTTGGAAAAGCACTTCATGTAAGTGGTTCGATGCCTTCCCAAACTGGAACCAGCGTTCCTAAGGCTGGAAAATAGCTTTCCGTACAAAAAAAAAAAAAAAGATGAGTCAACACCTCACTATGGGAATCCCACATCAGGTGATTGAGTTCTTTCTCACTCGCTCATGCACATCCACCCTTATACTTACTCATAGATAACTCCTTCTGAATTCACAAGGGGTTATATGGGACAAGTCAAGGGCAGACGTGGCCTCTGTCCCAATCCTGCCTCGTCTCCATCTCGGGACAGATTTAATACACAGAGTTAGACCCCGAGCTTACTTCCTAGCAGGTCTGTCATCCTTGCTCCCACAAACTGCAGCCGCTTTCCCATCAATGGTAAATATGTTTGGTCACACGTTTCCATCTCATTACTGAGGAAGGAAAAAAAGCCATCTCCCAAACCCCTCTCAAACAGGTTCCTTTTGGTTTCGCTGCAAACACCAGGAAGTCAGATTTCAGTAAAGGTGGATTTAATGAATTATTTCATGTCTTGAAATAAAGACTTCAAAAAGTGACTTGAAAAAAATTTATCTCATGCTGTAAAATTTAAAAATACAGCATGACTTGTTTGACTTTTATGTGACTTAATTTATATGACTTCACCCCAAAGGTATCCAACCCAATCAACAGCCAGACATCCCAGGCTGCACATGGGAACACCCAACGCCACAGCTGGCATTACAGAGCTCCCCGTGGCACACAGACCACATCAATTCAGGTGATCCTTCCATTTCTTTGCAAGTTCAACTATTCTCCATTTGCCTTACAGTAAGAACAGTCTTACTACAGAAGCAGGACATCATTGAGTGCACCTTTCCTTGGCCAACACATCATACATGGCTTTCCCCAAATAAGCAAAGCATCACAACACCTGCTTAAGTTCCCTTCAAATCATGGCCAAAACAGGTGGCCACAAATTTTCTTGAATTAGGAGCCTTAAATCAGCAATTTTTAATATGCATACATGTATTTACATATGTATACATAATACAAATATAAACAATGACAAGTGCTCTTCCTTAAGAATCAGGTCTGTACATTCATTCAAAACTGAATAAATCTGATTTAAAACAACAGTTTCACATGAGGTCTAATGAAACACTCAGGGTGTGATACTGTCAATTCTCATTTCCATACTGAGGTTGTACGGCCTCGGTAATCTCTATGCAATTTCACACATTCACTAAAATCATTCATTTTGGATTTAAATTTGTATCCTGAGAACAGGTAATCTGGATGAAGATACCGATAGAAGATGCCCAGGGTGTTACACAAGTGCAGACAACTGGGGAAGACTATTAGTAATGTCACCAGCAAAAGCAATCACAACACCTCCAGAAACAATAAAGTCTCCTGGTCTTCCACACCAGGATAATAACCATCAGTATGTTCATTTTCATCTCCATGGACACCGGTTTGATCTGTCTTTTTCTTCTCTTTCATGCCCATGAATGTCTAGAATAACGCCACATTTTTGAGGAAAGCAAATAATAAAGCATCTAGATGGTTTGGTACCATCAACGCACAAATAGCACTACATGCCCTCATGTCAGTTTTCAAGGACTTCAAGATCAGCATCATACTAAAAATGCTTTTGGTACATCGCAGAAAACAAGCAGAGGTTCCTCTCCAGAAAAACTGTTAGATATTTATCAACTAAATTACACTTACAGGAACGGAGTGTTTGTTTTGGACAAAGTGTCTTCAAAGGGTACAAGACTTGTGCCCAGTCCTGCATTCCCCACACATGCACACACATACTTCGTGTAGAAGATAAGGAATCAAATCTCTTGGACACTGAACGGATGAAAATGGATCACATCATTAGCATAGCTTGATGGTGCTGTTTACTTTCCTAGCTTGGCTGGCAAGAGAGCAAACAAAACAGAACAAAGGAAGAGATATTTTCACAAACAGGAGTACAAGATATTCCTTCTTTTAAAATTTTAGATTCTGCTGATCATAGCAAAAATTTGCAGGACTTCAGACACTCAGCCATTAATCATTTAAGAAAAAAAAATCTTTATGGCCTTTGCTGTTGACTAGGAATATTACAGAATGAGTTAGTACCCTTCTTTGCAAAGGCTATGTTTAGTAGATAGACTTATTAAACAGTATCAAATATTTAGAATCTGTAAGCCCCTCTTCTTCAGCTTGTATAACCAAAATGTGTCTGTTACTTAAAGTAACACACAAAATAAATGATCTTCTCTACTATAGAAAAAACAGTTCAGATTAAAAATAATAATACAGCCTTCAACATATAGCCAAGACCTGAACCACAAACAAATGGAATGGAAAGAATCAGCAAAGAAGATGTGTTTTCACTTGTTCCTCAATTCTGATGTCAGAGAGAAATTTACTTACAGAAATGGAATGACTCTTGATTTATGGTCAGGGAACATTAAAAACCAACGGAAAACACAAATGAGAAAGCTTAAAGAAAGATATCTAGATTTTTAAATCAAAGATGCTTCTACAAGCATTCACAGGCTTTTTGCTGAGCTTGGGTTAGACAATTTTGTTTTCTTGTACAGAGATTCTTTAAATGAGACAAGAACAGCCCAATTTGGAGCAAGCAGCTGTCAAACCTGTTTATTTCGCAACCTTCAGTACACTTAGCAAGTCCTCATAACCCACAGTGGTTTCTGCTACACAGACAAGAGTTCAGCTACTACTTGCAGCTGGCCATTGCAGGATTATTTTCTAGGCTGGTGGACTAACAGGCACAGCCTAGAAAGCAGGTTCTTCCTAGAGTCTGCAGCAATGATGATCTCTGTGATCCAAAAAACTAAGTGATCTGAGCAAAAGCCATATTTTTCCCCATGTTACAGGTTAGGGATCAAAAGTGCATGAAAGAGAAAGCGCGACTGCAATGACACCAAATGCTTCTGAGAAGCTCAGAATAAAGGAGCTTATGAATCAGTAGCTCCAAGATGGGTAGGGAGTTGAGGACAAAAATAAGTGTTTTACTTTTCACACCTCGGCATCAGAATTTAGAAATCCTTATTCAAATACTTGCAGAAGCAGCTGCCCATGTGCTTTGGGCCATCTCTTCCCTGTCCACCAAACACAAGAGGGAGTTGGGAGAAGATACTAATCACTCACTCTGTTCATATTCCGTGAAATCCTACTGATGGGGACTTTGCTGTTCTCACCTTGTAAGGAGACAACTCCAGAATGCTCTCAAAGCCTCATTTGGCTGAAGAACCCATGATGGGTCTCTCTTCAACTAATAAATAAACAGGTCTCACAAGCAGCCCACACGCCACGTAGAGATCACAGCTCATTATGGCAATAAGACACATCTCAGGTTTCAGGCAGAAATTACAACTCTATCAATCAACAGATGAGAATTTTTGTTTTTTAAATGCTGTTGATAAGCTACCTCCAGTTGCCTGCAGCTCCCCTCCGTTCAGCTCGCAGTAACACGCGCTGCAAGACAGTATCTCAGACATTA